AGTTCTGGTATTAAAGATGTGCACTACTATCCTAGTTAGGGTTATTATTACTGTAGTAAAACACCATGACCAAGAGCAACTTGAGGAGGAAAGGGTTTATTTCACTCACAGTTCCATATAACAGTTTATTATCAAAAACAGTAAGGACAGGAACTCAAGCAGGGCAACGGGCAACAACCTGGAGGTGGGAGCTGATGCAGAGGCCATGGAGGGGTGCTGCTTACTGGCTTGCTCCCCATGGCTTCCTTAGCCTGCTTACTTTTTTTTTTTTTTAACGTTTTATAAAATCTTTATTGACAGATAATTCACATTGTATACAATTTGACTGTTTGCACAATTTGATAGACTTTAGTCCAGCATCCTCATGACACCATCACCACTTTCTATTTTAGAACATCACTGTCCTCAATTTCATACACACATATAATGTATGGTGATTACATTCTACCTTATTCTTTAAATGAACATAATATTTGCAATTGTAACCATTTTAGGTTCATAATTCAGTGATATGAATTACATTGAAGATATTAATTACACTCATATTCATTAATTATACTCACGATATTAATTATATTTGTGGTATTCATTGATTACATTCACAGTATTCATTCAATAACTATATTTATGATATTAATGAATTACATTAATGTATTGATTTATTACATTCATGATATTATGTCCTGATACTACTGTCCATTTTTGGGGCTTTTCCATCACATAAAACAGAAACTCTGTACTTAGGAAATCATTGCTCTATATTCCTTTCTTCTCTGTCTGGAGATAACGTCTGATCTTTCTGTCTCTATGAATTTGTATATTCAATATATTTCATGTAATACAATTCTATAGTATTTGTCTTTTTTTTTAAAATGTAAAAACATTTTATGTACAACTGCAGGAGAAATAATACACAGATAGCTTGCACATAAAAACAGGTTGTAATTCAAAAGTCCAGGGTTATTTGAAACTGGAAAAAATTTTCTCTTTAGAAAATAGTAAAAATGATAACATTTCTCAATAAACCCTTTTAACCCAAATAATAGCTGAATTATACATATAAATATTGATTAGATTCTGGGATACAGAAGAAACCTATCAACTGTTCAGAGAGCTATGTTTTACTTAAGTTGTGTAAGTGAGATTCCTATTCATTTTCCCCTTCACTGTTTGATTTATGGTAGACATTTTTCTATAGGCTAATCCATAATCTACAAAGATTTTAGCCTCCCCTCCTGAAAGTACAGCCAGTATATTCTTTCATCAGCTTGATACGGTACAAATTCTTAACCTAATAGTGAAATGTTTCACAAAAGCTTGCCCAGTGATTTGGCAAAACCAAAACTTATTATAAACCACAGGCATCCTAGGGTCCTCCCTGATAGGTTGTTTCCAGGTTCTGGCTATTATCAATAATGCTGCTATGAACATAATTGAGCATTATTATCTTTGTGTCAGCCTGCTTCCTTATAGAACCCAGGACCACCAGCCCAGGGGTGTCCCGACCTACAGTGGGCTGGTCCCTTCCACATCAGTCAATTAAGAAAATTCTCTACAGGCTTGCCTACAGTCAGATCTTCTGGAGGCAATTCTCAAATGAGTCATCAGTAGCTTGTTTCAAGTTGACATAAACACTAGCCAGCACAGCTCCCATGTCTGTCTGTCTGTCTCTCTGTCTCTCTCTCTCCCCTCTCTCTAAACAGAAGAGTTTATTTTATCTTATTATTCCAGAGAGAGAGTCCATAATGGCTGGGGAGGAATGGCAGCAGGCAGCCAGAGCAGGAAACGGAGAGATCACATATTCAGTCACAAGCAGAGAGAATGAACTGGCCATGGGACTAGTTTTTGAGCTTCTAAAGATATATTTCTTTAACAACTGCATCTCCATGTAGCCTCTCCCAACATCACTACCAGCTTCAGAGCAAGTATTCAAATGCCTGAGTCAGTGGGGTGAATTGAATACTTCAATTTCTAATTGAAATCATCACAAACTGATTACTATATTTCATCTTGACTTAATTGAGGTACATTATATGCATCTAGAAATCCATCAATTTCTTTTCAATTTCCTAATTTTGTAGAATAAAAGCTTTTTTTTTTTTTTTTTTTGGTGGAGGGGGTGGGCGGTGGGCAGTTTTTGATACAGGGTTTCTCTCTGTGCCCTGGCTGTCCTGGAACTCACTGAATAGACCAGGCTGACCTAAAACTCACAGAGATCCACCTGCCTCTGCTTCCCAAGTGCTGTAATTAAAGGCGTGGGCCACCACCACCTGGCTTGAAATAACTTTTAAAAAATTTTATTGGTGTTTTTGCTTGTATGTATGTCTGTGTGAAGGTGGTGGATTCGGGAGTTACAGACAATTGTGAGCTGCCATGTGGGTGCTGGGAATTGAACCCAGGTCCTCGGGAAGTGCAGTCAGTGCTCTTAACCACTGAGCCATATCTCCAGCCCCAATTTTTTAATTTTTTAAAAAATTATAGTATAATTACATCATTTCCCTTTTCTCCCTCTCCTCTTTTCAAACCCTCCAATGTGCCCCCTAGTTTCTTCCAAATTCAAGCCTATTTTTTCCTTGTTATGTATATATTCCGAGCTGACCATTGGTTATTGGATAAGGAATTGGTATGTTCTTCCCTGTCATCCCTCCTCTCACTCCTCCGCCTCGACTCACACCCCAATCCCCTCCTCCAAAAGGGTAAGGCCTCCCATGGGGAGTCAGCAAAGCATAGTACATTCAGTTGAGGCAGGTCCAAGTTCTGCATCAAGACTGAGCAAGGTGTCCATCATAGGGAATAGGATCCCAAAAGCCAGCTCATGTACCAGGGATGGATCTGGTCCCACTGCCAGGGGTGCCTCAAACAGACCAAGTCACACAACAGAAGACACAATCTTACGACAAACTTCCTGTTCCTCTGGCTCATTAAAATTTTCTTCTCCCTCCTCTGCTATGATCCCTGAGCCTCAGGTGCAGGAGGTATGGTGTAGATGTGTCAGTTGGGACTGACTCTACCACTCTGCATTTTGATCCTTTGTGGTTTTCTGTAATGGTCTCTGCTGCAAGAGGAGTTTCCTTGATGGGGGTTGAAGACTACACTTCCCTGGTTAGACCCTGGAGAAGAATTTCTTTTTAATTAATAGTGTGTGTGATTACGAGCATGTCTGTGTGTGTGTGTGTGTGTGTGTGTGTGTGTGTGTGTGTGTGTGTAAAGGGGGTTAGGAGGGAGGGAGAGAAAGAGTGAGAGAGTTCATATGTACCTTGTGTATGCAGGAGCCCCTGGAAGACAGAAGAGGGTGTCATGTTCTCTAGAACTATGATCGCAGGGAGTTGTGAGCTGCCATGTGGTGCTGGAAATTTATTTATTTGAGACAGGAGTGTATATACCTGCTTTTTGTTATCCTTTGCATTTTTTGAATGAGTTCCTTTCCTCCAATAGTGTACTTTCCCCAACACTGGTGCTCGGATCATGATGTTCATTGGTGGTCCTGCTACCCAAGGGCCTGGAATGGTGGTTGGAGATGAATTAAAGACTCCAATAAGATCCTGGCATGACATTGAAAAGGATAATGCCAAATATGTTAAAAAGGGAACTAAGGTAATTTTTTATTCAGTTGTTTTCTTGTGAATTATTTTCTATTTTTATAACTTTACATTTTTAGGGGTGGTTTACAAAGGTATATTTTACTAATGGTGATTCTTGAATCTTTGTATTGTTTCTGCTTGTTGATGCCCTTTTTATTATTATTATTGTTATTGTTGCTATTTTTAGTTCAGACTTTTAGTTTAATTTTGCTGTACTGTTTGATAGTTTTTGGTAGTCATTGTTATTTTTTTTAAACAATAATTGATGTCATATTTTTGACACTATGAGTGCTTTTTTCTGCTAATGAGTTTCCCATTTGAGCTCAGAAATTTTATTTATTTTTTTGTTAAAGCTTAAAAAGATGCTTTAGATTGGCTTATCTCCTATTTTTTTCTCTTTTCAGATGTCTTTGTTACTTGCTTGTGGATTTAGCTAGGAAAAAGAGTTTTGTGTTGTTCTCTTGGGGTTTTTTTTTTGTGTGTGATTGTGTTGAAGAAGAGAATATAAACCTCTCTTTAGTTTTGTTTTACTTAGGAACATATCTAAAATAATGGCTTTTAAGTCAAAGAAAGTTAAAATATCAGACTTTGCTTATTTATTTATTTGAGACAGAATCTTTCTATATAGTGCAACCCATGATGCTCCTATTGGAGCCTCCCCAGTGATGGAATTTCTGACATGTACCACATGTCTAGCTGGAAATGAGACTTTTAGAAGTCATTTTATCATTTGTATGAAACTATAGGAAATTAAATGAGACAAGATGATCTGAAAATTATGAGTTGTTCTTTTACTCTTAAATTATTTGATCTGTTAATAGGAAAAAGATTTCCAGGACAGTTAGGTTATGTATTTGATTTTATTAAAATCTTTTGTAGCACTTTGAAGCACTGGCCAATCGAGCTGCTACGACTGGGCATGTTATTGATATCTACGCATGTGCGTTAGATCAGACAGGTCTCCTGGAGATGAAGTGCTGTCCTAACCTTACTGGGTATGTATGTGCATATCTAATAACAACTGCTTAGAGTGTAAACCAACACTGACAGCTTAGGAGAGGACACACTCACTCATGGTCTTCTGCTTTGTGGCAACATTGCTGACAGCTCTGCTGTGTCTTCTTTGGAGCTCATGTTACACTTTTTTTTCTGAAAAGACAGGCTTATAAAGGCAGAAGTTCTTTGGAAAAAGTTTATTCTAAAGTTTCTTAGTTGTTTTAGTAATGTTTTTGAGATAGCACATTGTAGCAGGCTTTCTTTTGGTCTACCAACCATGGTGGAGACTCCCAAACCATGACCCAGAGACTTCTGATTAATTATGAATGGTTGGCCTAGCTTAGGCTCATTTCAGCTTAGCTCTTTTAATTTAAATTAAGCTGTTTCTCTTTATCTACTTTTTGCCTCAGGGCTTTTTCCTTTTCTTTCTGTATGTCCTACTTTTCCTGCTTCTGTGTCTGTCTGTCTGGCAGCTGCCTGCCTGGCTGGCCCCGGGCGTGTGCCACTTTTTTCCCCTCGTTCTCTCCTTCTTCTCTCTTCTCCTGAGCCTAGATTTCTCCTCCTGTTTATTCTCTCTCCTGCCAGCCCTGCCTGTCCTTTATCTGCCTAGCTATTGGCTATTCAGTTCTTTATCAGGTATCCTAGGCAGGCAAGGTACTAGCAATACATCCTTTCACAATTAAACAAATGCAGCATAAACAAATATAACACATCTTTGCTTAGTTAAAATAATATTCCACAACAGCACATCATGAACTGTATCCATTTAAAATGTTCGATGAGGTTTTAGTACGTTCACAAGTTATATGACCATTACTGTGATTGAATTTAGAACATTTGTCTGATTCTGGAGAGACTGCCTGTTACCTGTTACTTTCCTTTCCTCTCTCTTTTCTCACCCCATCCTCTTGCCCTAGGCGATACTACTCGCCTCTTCTGGATGTTTCATGTAAGTGGAGTAATAAGTGGTGTTTGCCATTGGCTTCTTTAAAAAAAATATGTTTATGAATGTCTTGCCTATGTATGTATGTGTGCTGTGTGTATGCCTGATGCCCAAGGAGCTTAGAACAGAGAGTTGGATCCTCTGGAATTGCAGTTACAGAGGTTATGAGCCACCTTGTAGGTGCTGGGAACTGAACTGGGATCTTCTGCAAGAGAAACCAGTGCTCTTGACCACTCAACCATCTCTCAAGCCCACCACGGGCTTCTTTTATTCAGCATGCATTTTAATTTATGCACATTTACCATGTGCCAGTGTTTCTTTTTATTGCTGAAAAAAGTGAAGTAGGGGTTCAGCTTCATTCAGTGTTCTCTGAGACATATACCTAGGGAAATGCAAACAACTAGGAGCTCAGTGGGGAAAATACTCGAAGGTAAAGGCCATGGTCATCTGTGCTAACCATTACAGATACAAAATAATGCAGGGTGCAGAGTACGTAATTCAGCATTGTAAAGGTCATTGAGAATCTTACTAAAAACAGTTGACCTAGAGTGAATTAGAAAGACAACAGGAGGAGAGAGTTGGAAGAAGCTGATAGGGACAAGAGCTTCTCAGGTATTAGCTTGTACAAAAGCTAGGGTTTCTTGTGAAAAAACCAGTGCTCTTTAGTATGTTTGAGATGGGGTTGTTGTTGGTGTTAATGTTGCTGGACCAAGGACCACACTTTGAGAAGTAGAAGTATAGACAACTTTTGTGGATAGTTACTGAGAAAAGGAGCAGTCATTAATGCATGATGCATTATCAAGTATTTTACAACACGGTTAATTTTAGATGATGCGTGTGGAAGGAGAAAATCTGGACCAGTGAATGGCTCAGTGGGTGAAAGCCCTGATGGCAAGCCTGAGGCCCTGAGGTGGATACTTGGGACCCACATGGTGGAAGGAGAGAACTGGTACCTGGAAGTTGTTCTCAGACCTTCACACACACACACTGTGTTGTGTGCATACCCATATACATAACATAAATAAATGTAATTATATTTTAAATGAATTATTAATAGAAATTGAGTTAATTACATTTGTTTTGGGGGAATGTTTTTACTATTTGTTCGTAGTCTAATTATTTTTTTCAGGTAATACATGAGCCCATTTAATTGTGTTATGTATGTTGTGTTTGCCTTTTTCCTGTGCAGAGGATACATGGTAATGGGTGACTCTTTCAACACTTC